ACTTAATGGTATTGACCATAATGACACTTAATGGTATTGACCATAATGACACTTAATGGTACTGACCATAATGACACTTAATGGTATTGACCATAATGATACTTAATGGTATTGATCATGACCATAATGATCAAGAAGTTTATGCCATTAACAATAAGCAGTGGGATTTATAGTGCTATATATATATATATATGTTTGCTTGTTTGTTGAAAATTTCACATCCCAGAAACAGCTAAGGTCATTAATGGTGTCCATTGGTGACTGAGCCTCTCATGGGGCCACTTTACAACAAGTGACATCTCATTTGAACACGTTAGCATGTTACCCCATGTAATCACACTATTACTATTCTGACAACACACTGACTAGAATAGCTGACATGTGAATTTAGACATTATCAGATAACAGAAAAAACACTTGCTGTTTTGTCGATCACCGAGACTTTTCCTCGCCATACGTCCTCCTGGTTATTTTCAAAATCCTCAAAACACCCCACTGCCTTGGCTTTTACGAAGTCACACAGTTGTCTGTGACTGTCGGCTAGCAGTGGGTCAAGGTCACACAGCAGGGCTGGATGTATCACCGTGGTAACAGATGCATTATACCACTCTTTCAGATGTCCCAGGGCACCGCACAATGACAGCAAACTCTCAGCGCTGGAAAAGATTCAGAAATTATAAAAAAAGGTTTTCTCTAATTTTAAGTATATGAACAAATAACATCTAATATTTCATTTATTTACTGAGCAGACGTGAGGGGAGAAAATTATAGTATGAAGGAACTGCTGTAGAGGCCAGACATAATAGGATAACAGAAGTACCTTGTGCACTGTAGTTAACTCCAGTGCACATCAGTATGAACTCCACTTGTGCACTACAGTGTGAACTCCACTTGTGCACATCAGTGTGAACTCCACTTGTGCACTACAGTGTTAACTCCACTTGTGCACATCAGTGTGAACTCCACTTGTGCACATCAGTGTGAACTCCAATGCACTACAGAGTTAACTCCAGTGCACTACAGTGTTAACTCCAGTGCACTCCAGTGTTAACTCCAGTGCACTCCAGTGTTAACTCCAGTGCACTACAGTGTGAACTCCAGTGCACTACAGTGTTAACTCCAGTGTGAACTCCAGTGCACTACAGTGTTAACGCCAATACACTACAGTGTTAACTCCAGTGCACTCCAGTGTTAACTCCAGTGCACTACAGTGTTAACTCAAGTACACAAGCTTGTTAACTGGGGTTCACTATTCTTGTTAACTCCAGTGCACTAGGCTACCAAGTTAAGTTTGCTCCCAACTGTACGGCCTCATTGTGGATTTAGAATAAGTTGTAATATTCATAATCTTGAATAAATGAAGTACACAAATATGAAATTTAAAATTCATTCGATACTCAAGTAGTTTAGAAGATATGGCATTTTCATGACAAAATGTGAGAATTTCGTCTGTTGTGCGCTATTTGGTTGAAAATTGACCATTTTGAAGGAAATTAACTAAACACTTCAATTTTTGACAGCCTCTGCATGCAACAAACAATTAAATATTTGACATACTTAAACACTGTCATACAAGTGTTCATTCCTAGAAAGGAATTTTTGTTTGTCGCATGCGAATTGTCCAAAAACACCATATTTTGGCTATTTCTACAAAGCAATGCAATTTTGTTGCTATGGTAGGGCATCTACACATGCACGTTGGAAAAAATCAGCACTAAGAAAGATAGCCCCAATTAAACAAATTGAATAAGATGTTTCTAACAGAAACTGTTCATTAATTTCAAATTGAAGTTTTTACTTTTTATGAGGCCAAAAATGACCCCTTTTCGCTTAAAGTGCTTTAGTCATTGTTTTATGTGTTAAGAATGTACCCCTACCTTCCCTGGAGTTCATGGGGAAACTCTATAATGATGTCAACCAAAGTTCCTGAAAACGAAAAATAATAGTTTATTGTAGTGTATGGAAATAACAAACAGTTCAGCTGATCCCCAAATAGATAACTGTAGGTGTAATTTACATTATAACGTAAATGGCTTAGCAGGTGAACAAAGTAGCAGTATATAATCTGTACTAATATAAGTTAATACAGGTATACGTAATTGCTGATAGGAACTTGGAACTGCTGTTTCACCATCTGAAACAGAACAGGTGAAGAACCTATAAGAGCTTATTTTGTGTTTAAACATGCTAGGTTTTTCATGATGTGCAGCAGAAACTAGATTTGACATCCTCTGGTACAGGTAATAACATACTCTGGTACAGGTAATCACATTCAATGGTACAGGTAATCAAATGGTCTGATACAGGTAATCACATACTCTGGTACAGGTAATCACATTCACTGGTACAGGTAATCACATGCTCTGGTACAGGTAATCACATGGTCTAGTACAGGTAATTTCTCACTTTGGTACAGGTAATCACATGGTCTGGTACAGGTAATCACATACTCTAGTACAGGTAATCACATGCTCTGGTACAGGTAATCACATACTCTGGTACAGGTTATCACATACTCTGGTACAGGAAATCACATGGTCTGGTACAGGTAATCACATACTCTGTTACAGGTAATCACATACTCTGGTACAGGTAATCACTCACTTTGGTACAGGTAATCACATACTCTGGTACATGTAATCACATACTCTGGGATACTCTGGTACAGGTAATCACATCCTCTGGTACAGGTTATCTCATACTCTGGTACAGGTAATCACATGGTCTGGTACAAGTAATCACATGGTCTGGTACAGGTAATCACATACTCTGTTACAGGTAATAACATACTCTGGTACAGGTAATCACATGGTCTGGGACAGGTAATCATACACTTTGGTACAGGTAATCACATGGTCTGGTACAAGTAATCACATGGTCTGGTACAGGTAATCACATACTCTGTTACAGGTAATAACATACTCTGGTACAGGTAATCACATGGTCTGGTACAGGAAATCACATACTCTGGTACAGGTAATCACATCCTCTGGTACAGGTTATCTCATACTCTGGTACAGGTAATCACATGGTCTGGTACGTATACAGGTAATCACATACTCTGGTACAGGTAATCATATACTCTGGTACAGGTAATCACATGGTCTGGTACGTATACAGGTAATCACATACGCTGGTACAGGTAATCACATGGTCTGGTACAGGAAATCACATACTCTGGTACAGGTAATCACATCCTCTGGTACAGGTTATGACATCCCCTGGTACAGGTAATCCCATACTCTGGTACAGGTAATCACATACTCTGGTACATGTAATCACATACTCTGGGATACTCTGGTACAGGTAATCACATCCTCTGGTACAGGTTATCACATATTCTGGTACAGGTAATCACATACTCTGGTACAGGTAATCACATGGTCTGGTACAGGTAATCATACACTTTGGTACAGGTAATCACATGGTCTGGTACAGGTAATCACATACTCTGGTACAGGTAATCACATACTCCGATACAGGAAATCACATGGTCTGGTACAGGTAATCACATACTCTGGTACAGGTAATCACATACTCTGGTACAGGTAATCACATGCTCTGGTACAGGTAATCACATGGTCTGGTACAGGTAATCACATGCTCTGGTACAGGTAATCACATACTCTGGTACAGGTAATCACATGGTCTGGTACAGGTAATCACATACTCTGGTACAGGTAATCACATACTCTGGTACAGGTAATCACATACTCTGGTACAGGTAATCACATACTCTGGTACAGGTAATCACATGGTCTGGTACAGGTAATCACATACTCTGGTACAGGTAATCACATACTCTGGTACAGGTAATCACATACTCTGGTACAGGTAATCACATACTCTGGTACAGGTAATCACATGGTCTGGTACAGGTAATCACACTCTGGTACAGGTAACCACATGGTCTGGTACAGGTAATGACATACTCTGGTACAGGTAATCACATACTCTGGTACAGGTAATCACATACTCTGGTACAGGTAATCACATACCCTGGTACAGGTAATCATATGGTCTGGTACAGGTAATCACATACTCCGGTACAGGTAATGACATACTCTGGTACAGGTAATCACATGGTCTGGTACAGGTAATCATATGGTCTGGTACAGGAAATCACATACTCTGGGATACTCTGGTACAGGTAATAACATGGCCTGGTACAGGTAATCTCATGGTCTGGTACAGCTGATACAGGTAATCACATCGTCTGGTAGGGGTAATCACATCCTCTGGTACAGGTAATCGCATACTCTGGTACAGGTAATCACATACTCTGGTACAGGTAATCACAGTCGTCATCATAGAGCAGCAGAAGTCATACAGAGTAATTACCACTTAAACATTAACAATGGTGTTTTGTTGTACCCTAAAATCGCGATAATAAGCCTGATCTGAAAATACGTCTTGGATTACTAAGTCAATGGCTGACAATGTAAATTGACATGCTTTTTGTAAAGAGGGCCTGTATCACTCACTTGGATATTTAAGCAATCATGGCAATATTTGATTTAAAGTGGTACAGCAAATAACATCCAAGGGATAGGGCCAGTCCCTAGAGCAAGCCCTAGCAGCATCTGTGTATCAAAACCTACAATAATATAAGACTCTTTCCCTCGGGATTAACAAATTTGGCAAAATCCTCGGCAGAGCCTCGGGTTTTACCAAATTTGAAAACCCCTCAGGTGAAATTCCCCTATCCCACACCCCTGGGCATGAAAGAGTATTTTTCTTTCATTCCAACCACCAGAATAAGCCAAGAAACCATGAAAATGCATCTGGACTTGCCACCATTTTGAAAATATCAATTTCCCCCTGAGCTTTTTAGACAAAAATGAATCAGCCAGCCAGATTAAGCATATCCCATATTTGCGAATAATGTATGGGCAGAAAGAATAATCACATCTTTCTAACGTGTTCGGTAAATATATCGTAAAAGGTTTCAATTTCATCACATTGCCTTTTCAGCATTGCGGCATCGGAGAGTTCCAAATTTGTGACGTCACGTCATTGTTGAGTCATTGTGATGTCAAATCACGTAAAATGGGGTGTAAGATAGAAATTTTCTACACCCCTTTCTTACTCTGGACAGCTCTATCTTAAACACAGGCAAATGAGAGAATTGTATTTATACTGTTATAGGATAGGAATCTCAAATGTTTCCCTGTTATGACCCACGGACTACATCCTTATGGATGGGAGCAGACCCTAAGGCAGACTCTGGTAGCATAATTGTGTTTGTATCTTTATGCCCAGCAATTGTACACACTGTTGTATCAACCCTTTCCAAGTTATGACTCAGAAACTAAGTCCCTAGGGGTGTGGTCAGACACCAGGGTAAATTATAATATCATGGTTGTGTTGATGTCTTTATGCCTAGAAATTGTATTTATGGTAATGAGGTGGGGATCTTGACCATTTCCAAGTTATGACCCAGGACTAAGTATCCATGGGTTGGGCCAGACACTCAGGGCCAATAATGGAACTGCATCTATATTAATCTCTTTATATTCAGCAACAGGAACATATGGTTATAGGGTAAGTGTTAATAGGGAGTTAGACCACCCAAGGTCAAACATGTGGTCAGTGTATGTCTGACCGCCTAAGGTCAGGAGTGTTTCCCAAAACACAGCACCCCACATCAGTCATACTGAGTTCCCACAGTGTCCAGATGTGGCTGGACATAACAGTATCTTATTACGCTGACCATTTCCTGGGCTGCTGTTGATGTTTTTGTGAAAACCATGTGAACTGACCAGATAGGGTCAGTCCTAGTGTGGCCTGAGAAGAGAAGAACCTCAGACACTCAGGTCATACTATGTTATATGTGTTGTCTTAATTATCAATATTTAGACTAAGTGATGTAGTTTTTGGTTGGTTATTTGTTGTTAGAGCAGCATTTAGGGTTATTAATGTATAACTTATATGGAGCCTGCATTTGGAAATGATGATTTATTTACCTGTCACTTCTATGTCAGTGACAATTAACCCATGACTTGATATTTACCTGTGACTTGTTATCTACCCACGACTTGATATTTACCTGTGACTTGTTTTTAACCTGTGACTTGTTATTTACCTGTGACTTGTTATTTACCTGTGAGTTGTTATTTACCTCTGACTTGTTATTTACCTCTGTCTTGTTATTTACCTGTTACTTGTTATTTACCTGTGACTTGTTATTTACCTGTTACTTGTTATTTACCTGTGACTTGTTATTTACCTGTTACTTGTTATTTACCTGTTACTTGTTATTTACCTCTGTCTTGTTATTTACCTGTTACTTGCAAAGTGTCTGTGATCTGGAACAACTTTTCACTAAGACTAACACCATTCCTGAAAATACATATTTTTCAATGCAATCAGATCAGAAGATTAAATAATAAAACATGTAAATGTAGTTTTCTGGCAGACTTGGCATGGTAAAGTCAATCTAATCTGAACCTCCCTAGGGGGCATAATATTTCATTCAGAATATGCAAGTACAGATGTATTGCAAATAATTTAATCAAACAGGTTTAATTTACTTAGGAATATATACTGTGGTAAAAAGTTTTAACGTTTATAGGCAGACTTTGGTAGAGTTGCATAACATAACAAGAATGTGTAGCAGAGTTTTTTGTAATCTTTAATTTAACTTACGGTAATAAAATGTACAGGATTTAGACTCTGTGAATGACTAAATCTGTCACCAACGAAATACAACCACAGAATGTTGATTATTCTGCTCTGAGATATAAAACATTTGGACTGAGGCCATCATTAGGATTGAGCTCAAGGTCATCAGATGACCCTTTATGTTAGACACTTACTGTGCATTGTCGGTCAGCGGCAGTGACGAGGAATTACACTGGTCAATCTCGATCCACTGTACAGGCGTGTCACTGCACATCAGCTGTAAGTTAAGTACCGGTGTAGTATGGTCATATGAACCACTCACCCCATGGTGAACCACTCACCCCATAGTGAACCACTCTCCCCATGGTAAACCACTCTCCCCATGGTGAACCACTCTCCCCATGGTAAACCACTCTCCCCATGGTGAACCACTCTCCCAATAGTGAACCACTCTCCCCATGGTGAACCACTCTCCCAATGGTGAACCACTCACTCCATGGTGAACCACTCTCCCCATGGTGAACCACTCACCCCATAGTGAACCACTCTCCCCATGGTGAACCACTCTCCCAATGGTGAACCACTCACCCCAGGGTGAACCACTCTCCCCATGGTGAACCACTCACCCCATGGTGAACCACTCACCCCATGGTGAACCACTCACCCCATGGTGAACCACTCACCCCATGGTGAACCACTCTCCCCATGGTGAACCACTCACCCCATGGTGAACCACTCACCCCATGGTGAACCACTCTCCCCATGGTGAACCACTCACCCCATGGTGAACCACTCACCCCATGGTGAACCACTCTCCCCATGGTGAACCACTCACCCCATGGTGAACCACTCACCCCATGGTGAACCACTCTCCCCATGGTGAACCACTCACCCCATGGTGAACCACTCACCCCATGGTGAACCACTCTCCCCATGGTGAACCACTCACCCCATGGTGAACCACTCACCCCATGGTGAACCACTCTCCCCATGGTGAACCACTCACCCCATGGTGAACCACTCACCCCATGGTGAACCACTCTCCCCATGGTGAACCACTCACCCCATGGTGAACCACTCACCCCATGGTGAACCACTCTCCCCATGGTGAACCACTCACCCCATGGTGAACCACTCTCCCCATGGTGAACCACTCTCCCCATGGTGAACCACTCACCCCATGGTGAACCACTCTCCCCATGGTGAACCACTCACCCCATGGTGAACCACTCTCCCCATGGTGAACCACTCACCCCATGGTGAACCACTCTCCCCATGGTGAACCACTCACCCCATGGTGAACCACTCTCCCCATGGTGAACCACTCACCCCATGGTGAACCACTCTCCCCATGGTGAACCACTCACCCCATGGTGAACCACTCTCCCCATGGTGAACCACTCACCCCATGGTGAACCACTCTCCCCATGGTGAACCACTCACCCCATGGTGAACCACTCTCCCCATGGTGAACCACTCACCCCATGGTGAACCACTCACCCCATGGTGAACCACTCACCCCATGGTGAACCACTCTCCCCATGGTGAACCACTCACCCCATGGTGAACCACTCACCCCATGGTGAACCACTCACCCCATGGTGAACCACTCACCCCATGGTGAACCACTCACCCCATGGTGAACCACTCACCCCATGGTGAACCACTCACCCCATGGTGAACCACTCACCCCATGGTGAACCACTCACCCCATGGTGAACCACTCACCCCATGGTGAACCACTCACCCCATGGTGAACCACTCACCCCATGGTGAACCACTCACCCCATGGTGAACCACTCACCCCATGGTGAACCACTCACCCCATGGTGAACCACTCACCCCATGGTGAACCACTCACCCCATGGTGAACCACTCACCCCATGGTGAACCACTCACCCCATGGTGAACCACTCACCCCATGGTGAACCACTCACCCCATGGTGAACCACTCACCCCATGGTGAACCACTCACCCCATGGTGAACCACTCACCCCATGGTGAACCACTCACCCCATGGTGAACCACTCACCCCATGGTGAACCACTCACCCCATGGTGAACCACTCACCCCATGGTGAACCACTCTCCCCATGGTGAACCACTCACCCCATGGTGAACCACTCACCCCATGGTGAACCACTCACCCCATGGTGAACCACTCTCCCCATGGTGAACCACTCTCCCCATGGTGAACCACTCTCCCCATGGTGAACCACTCTCCCCATGGTAAACCACTCTCCCCATGGTGAACCACTCACTCCATGGTGAACCACTCTCCCCATGGTGAACCACTCTTCCAATGGTGAACCACTCTCCCCATGGTAAACCACTCTCCCATGGTGAACCACTCACCCAATGGTGAACCACTCACCCCATGGTGAACCACTCACTCCATGGTGAACCACTCTCCTCATGGTGAACCACTCACCCCATGGTGAACCACTCACCCCATGGTGAACCACTCTCCCCATGGTGAACCACTCTCCCCATGGTGAACCACTCTCCCCATGGTGAACCACTCTCCCCATGGTGAACCACTCTCCCCATGGTGAACCACTCTCCCCATGGTGAACCACTCTCCCCATGGTGAACCACTCTCCCCATGGTGAACCACTCTCCCCATGGTGAACCACTCTCCCCATGGTGAACCACTCTCCCCATGGTGAACCACTCTCCCCATGGTGAACCACTCTCCCCATGGTGAACCACTCTCCCCATGGTGAACCACTCTCCCCATGGTGAACCACTCTCCCCATGGTGAACCACTCTCCCCATGGTGAACCACTCTCCCCATGGTGAACCACTCTCCCCATGGTGAACCACTCTCCCCATGGTGAACCACTCTCCCCATGGTGAACCACTCACCCCATGGTGAACCACTCACCCCATGGTGAACCACTCACCCCATGGTGAACCACTCTCCCCATGGTGAACCACTCTCCCCATGGTGAACCACTCACCCCATGGTGAACCACTCTCCCCATGGTGAACCACTCTCCCCATGGTGAACCACTCTCCTTATGGTGAACCACTCACCCCATGGTGAACCACTCACTCCATGGTGAACCACTCACTCCATGGTGAACCACTCTCCCCATGGTGAACCACTCACCCCATGGTGAACCACTCTCCCCATGGTGAACCACTCTCCTTATGGTGAACCACTCACCCCATGGTGAACCACTCACCCCATGGTGAACCACTCACCCCATGGTCAAATGAAGGCTACCCATGGTGAACCACTCTCCCTATGGTGAACCACTCACCCCATGGTGAACCACTCATCCCATGGTGAACCCCTCTCCCCATGGTGAACCACTCTCCCCATGGTAAACCACTCTCCCCATGGTGAACCACTCACTCCATGGTGAACCACTCTCCCCATGGTAAACCACTCTCCCAATGGTGAACCACTCTCCCCATGGTGAACCACTCGCCCCATGGTGAACCACTCATCCCATGGTGAACCCCTCTCCCCATGGTGAACCACTCTCCCCATGGTGAACCACTCTCCTTATGGTGAATCACTCTCCTTATGGTGAACCACTCACCCCATGGTGAACCACTCCCCCCATGGTGAACCACTCTCCCCATGGTGAACCCCTCTCCCCATGGTGAACCACTCTCCTTATGGTGAACCACTCACCCCATGGTGAACCACTCACCCCATGGTCAAATGAAGGCTACCCATGGTGAACCACTCTCCCTATGGTGAACCACTCTCCCCATGGTGAACCACTCTCCCCATGGTGAACCACTCATCCCATGGTGTACCACTCACCCCATGGTGAACCACTCATCCCATGGTGAACCGCTCTCCCCATGGTGAACCACTCTCCCCATGGTAAACCACTCTCCCAATGGTGAACCACTCTCCCCATGGTGAACCACTCTCCTTATGGTGAACCACTCACCCCATGGTGAACCACTCCCCCCATGGTGAACCACTCATCCCATGGTGAACCGCTCTCCCCATGGTGAACCACTCTCCTTATGGTGAACCACTCTCCTTATGGTGAACCACTCTCCCCATGGTGAACCACTCTCCTTATGGTGAACCACTCACCCCATGGTGAACCACTCCCCCCATGGTGAACCACTCTCCCCATGGTGAACCCCTCTCCCCATGGTGAACCACTCTCCCCATGGTGAACCACCCTCCTTATGGTCAATCACTCTCCTTATGGTGAACCACTCACCCCATGGTGAACCACTCTCCCCATGGTGAACCACTCACCCCATGGTGAACCACTCACCCCATGGTCAAATGAAGGCTACCATCATTTCTTTTCTGACCGACTTTTTTGCATTTTTTTTTAAAATTTACTTCAATGTGTTGTGCTATATACATGAAGTTATTGAACAACAACAAAAACATAATGGTGAAATGAAATGAAGGGTTTCACCCTATTTTTTTCTATCTGATTTTTGAAACCAAATCTGTTTTAGTTAACAGCAGTTAACAGTTTGTGATGAAAATCACAAAAATTAAGACCCTGGATAGAAAATTTAGGGTGGGGCAGGGGTGCTTCATTTATGATGAAATGAAGGGTTTCCAGCTTTTATTTTGTATTTTACTTTTTTGAACCAGTTCTGTTTTAGTTAATATCAGTTTGATGTTCTCAATATGAAAATCACAAAAAAATAAGACTTGGGTAGGGAAATTAAGGTTGGGGCGGGGGGGCCTTCCCTTCACCATAATGGTGAAATAATAGCCTGACCCAACTAATACAGTTTAACATCCACCATGCGTTGATTTATTTCCTAATATAGCTGACGTTTGAGGAACTAAACCAGTTTAGTGATAGAAGGAGTTAACATTTATTGACTGGTAAAGTATTAACCTAAACTGAAACGTTAACAGTCACACAGATGTATCTCACACTTAATACTTTCTCGTCATGTGTCATGACGGAAGTACTTGCATAAGCCAGGAAACTGAATAAAAACATACACGAAATCTGTGTGCAATACGAAGAAATTTAAAAGTTGTAGAAGTTCTCTTCAATATAAAGTTAAATACAAGGTAAGTAAATTAAACAGAGTGAATGGTTTAGTTTTTCATCTGTAAAATATTCCTTGCCAAATTTCATATTATGATAAATGACGAAAACAAAAATTGATCTGTAGATCTCCTCAGGTTTGAATTGGGGTTCACTTCGCCATACGGCAATGGTGAAATGAAGGGTTTTCAGCTTGCTTTTTTTTATTTCACCTTTTTGAACCAAATCTGTTTTAGTTAATATCAGTATGATGTCCTGAATATAAAGGGGCCGGTAGTCCCCTGAAGAGAAATTTAGGGTGGGGCAGGGAGAGGGGGCTTCACAAGGGTTTCAGCATATTTTTTTAATTTTAATTTTTTAAACAAAATCTGTTTAAATTAACATCAGTTTGATGTCCTGAATATGAAAATCACAAAAATTGAGTCTCTACCTTAGCCCTTTAGACCGAATGTGATTAATGTGCAAGATAACAAGGACACTTCCTGTATTAGGCCATAATAAATTAATTGCTAGATTCTCATCCAAATTCTTTTCAAAATTGGGGGGGGGGGGGCGAATTTTATTTTTTATTTTTTATTTTTCCTAAAATTTCAAATGGTTGCAAATGTGTTAAAATAGTGCAATAAAGGCGCATGGTCAGTGTACATTTATCTTTATTTTTTGTTAATAACAACTTTGAGTATGCAGTATACACATTGAACACCATTTCACTGTTCAGCCCACATATATATCTGTACTAACTTTTGGTATGAATACACACCACATTACTTTTTCACATGTCGTCCTCTTTTAATTACAGTCACCTTGCCATTGGTCAAACAGTTCTGGCATATGGGGTAGTTTTCCTCAGATGTAGCCACATTGTCATCTGTGCCACAATGGAAGCATACTGCTTCGAAACCAGCAGAGAAATAGGCCAGTTCAACTGGCCCATCACATGTCAGATTTTTTCTTACAAACACTGATTTTAACACATTTTCTTGTTCGGTTTCTACATCAGCAAAATCAGAACCACACGTGTACGACAAATCGCCCAACATAGTTTGCAATTCCTTTCTTTTCTTTCCTCTTACAACATGCTTGCAGTAGAGAACACGAGGCTTGTCACATTCAGAACAGTATATCACCATTTCAACATTTTAAGCAGTTTGGGCGGTGGGTGAGAATGGCATACCACGCCCAGGACCTGGCTTGTGTCCTAGTGAGGGCCTGTGCTTTTCACTAGTTTCGTGTCCATATAACTGATCAAAGGACTTGTACTTGTCACCAGTATCAGGTTCTGGGTCTGGCAGAAAGTGAAGACCTTCAAAAGTATCTGCAGGTAAGTTTGGTCGTTTACAAAGAGTGCAGGTTGCCTTCCCACACTTTTTGACACAGAACATATAATGCCTGATTTTGCAGTGTGAGGAAAGAAAAGAATGGAATTGTTTCCGTATTTGTACTGATAAATCCAACTTTCTGATCGTGTAACCAGTCGATTATATCATTGTACATTCTCAGTTTGTCATTTACGACGTTCCCATGCTTTGCCGGTAGATGTGTTGCTTTAGAAA